CCTATCAGTCCCTGCAGGTGAATCAATTTATATGTATGTATAATTAATTTAACATTCCAGGTCATTGTAATGTTATCCCCATTAATTGGTACAGATATATCAAGCTTCAAAGGTGTTCTAAAATGGAAAATCAGAGCTGCATCCCCAAAATATGGAGCAAAAAGAAAAAGACATATGTTTTCTTTTCAAGGAATATTTCTAAAGACTTTCACCTACTCTGGAACAATTTTCATCTAAATGACAATATATACATATGTCATATCACACATGCTCTGCACAGACATCTAAAAGCTGACATGTAAAAATTCTGTATATTCATCTGTCACCACATATATTCATCCATTTCCATACACACACACAAAGAGTGCTTGGCATGACATTAGAAAGTCCTGGCACAGGCAAAAAAGCAATGATTCATTCAGAGCACTCAGAGAATATTGCCTATTTTAGATGCAGCATATGTATTGAAATCAGCCATGCTGTGTCTGACATGTTCTGCAAACGCGGGGTGATGGCTGTTTCAAGGCGGTGGTGGCTGTGCTGTCACCCTGACATGCGGGGGGCTTTGGAGGCTCCCGGGGGGCTCAGCCACCTCTGCCACCCTGCCTGTCACTGCTGCCTCCACATCCCGGCTCCCCATGGCCCCGCAGCTGGGGCAACGCAGCGGCTTCTGAAGCATCCTCAGTCTTTGATCTGCTTTACTATGGCAAATGGGAACATGATCTCTATAGCTATACAAGCCAGGCTAAAAGTCTTGGCTATTCAATTATCCTTGCCCTGGGGTCTGGAGCTCCTGCAGAGGCACAGGGCAAGAAGCATTCCAGCCTCCCATTTTTAATCTATTTGTCACCTACAAGCACAATAGCTAAAGGCTGTGTAGTCCAAAAACACTGCAAGAAAAGCTCAAAAGGTTTCACAGGGAAATCCTCTTAAGAGTGAACGACAAGGTACAATCCAGCCAAACTAAACTAAACAGCTAACTAATTTAATTCTGACGTCTGTGTTGAACTCTGATACTGCTGCCAATGTATAGAATAAAAAAGGGGAGCACTGTTTTGAATGGAGCAGAACACAATAGGAAAAGTCATTTGCTGGTCATATGGAAATAATACAAACCAGCAAACAGGGCATGTTTATTTAAGCTCCTCAGATATAATTGCAGGTATTAAAATGAGTATTCAGCATGAGGTTAGCCTCTTGGCAATTTAAAAGCTGGCAGGAGTCAGTGTATCTCAAATGCGGTGCTTTGCACATGTCTCCAAGCACATGGTGCCATGGTATCTGTTTCTCAGTTGCCTTCTTGCAGGGGGCCCACTGCAATGCTGCGTGCATGCCATGCCCACAGTCATCCCATGGGAATTATGTGCATTTGCCAAACAAGTAGGTACCTGCCATTCAGCAACTAGGCCAGTTTAATCCTGGGTTTAGGTATGTGTTTCCAGTTAAGGTCTTTGATGTATTCATGGGGATGTAGGTGGGCCCCCAGCTACACGTGTTTCAGACAGCACCAGTGTTTGGGTGAGCTTTGCAGCGCTGCCCATCGCCCTACCTTTCACAGTGGCTTCCAGCTGTAAACCCACGGCAGTTCAGGCACACTCCGGTCACTGGGTCGCAAAGTTCTGTGTAGCCATTACATGGGCAAGGACGGCAGTGGGGGAATCCAAAATACCCAGCCAGACATCGGCTGCAGCGCTGACCATCCACCTCCCGGCGGCAGGAGCACTGGCCCGTCACCTGGTCACACAGCGTGCTCAGTGAGCCTTGTGGGTGGCACTCGCATGCTGGAAAACGTGGAAAGCAAAGCTGCATCCTGAACGTACTCCCACCAACCTCGCTCATCGCTGACACTGCTTGAAGGCAGTGTGAGCAGTGGGGATGGAAAATTCGCTATTTGTGGCAACATTTTTTATATTGCTTCACACATAATCACGGATTCAAAGCCGTAAAAAGTTGGGGTATGCATGAAGAGCCAGATACTGGTATTGGTACTGGTGCTGGCTGCCAGGTACTCACCATAGCAGCCGTGGAAGCCGAAGCCGTAGCTGCCTGCAGAGCAGGTGTCGCAGCAGCGTCCCACGACGTTGGCTTTGCACTGACACTGGCCCCCCAGTTTACTGCAGCTGGCATTCAGCGACCCTTGGGGATTGCACTTACACGCTGCCAAGGGGAAAGAAAATCAAAGCAGATTTGGTTATAAAGGAGTGTGACTGCTCTCATAAACTTGCAGGTGTCACACTTAAAAATAGGAAGGAAAGAGCTTGATTATTCTCATCAAGGGTGCACTAACCACTGATGGCCATGGCTTGGATTATTTGATGCTGTAGCATCGATGGTGATGGTGTATCAGGCACCAGCACAAGTCTTGGTGTTGGAGGAGCTGCCACGTTCAGGGCACTGCCTTCAGCACATATTTGGAATAGGACAGAAGAGGGCGTAGCAAAATGTAGATCCAAAATGGAGACATCCTGAAGTCTGAAGGGTTTGATATAAGCCTATGTCTGGTTGCAGCACTGGACATAACCTGCAAGCAGTACTTAGACAGCCTGCACCTGTGTATTGTTTGCTGCTTTCTGGACACCTTGGACTAACTTGTTAAGTGAAGCCGGTCTGCTAACTCACAGGGGATGTTTGTCCAGGATGCTCAGGTGCCAGCACTAGAAAGCCAAAGTGCCATGTTTCATTTGGAGAACACCATCACTGTGGGAACTGGGCCAGTGGGGAGTCAGCACAGCCCAAACTTAAATGAGGGGGGTCTGTGGCTGCATAGCCACGACCACATCACTTGATGTGTGAGTGAGGCATTGGGCCTTCTAAAAATAGCCCAAACCAAGCAGATGCTATCAGGACCATTGGAGGCAAGGCTCCCTGAAAGGAGCTGGCCACCAAAGTTGTCCAGAAAGGCCCCTTCTGTTACTGGAAGTGCAGAGAAGCTCCATTTCTCCGGGCCCAACACCAGGGAAGTCTCCTGAGCCACCAAGCCCAGCTGTCCTTTTTGTGGTGGTTCCAGGAGACTGCCCTGGGCTTCAAACCCCAGCTGCCACTGCCCTCTTGCTAGGACACCATCAAGGTTTTCTTCGTGAATCTCTTCCAGCATATCAGCTTGTGTGCCATCATGCCTGGAGTTCTAACAGGGCATCCAGCTGGCCTGCAGCATCCAGGGAGAGGACTTAAAAACTCCTCTGTCATTTTACAGCAGCCAGAAAAGCAGGGAAGTTACTGCTTTGGCCATCTGGTGAAGCTGCATCTGATTGAAATGCTCTTCGGAAAACACACAAGCACTGCCATGGTGCCTGTCACGCTGCTTCATGAAGCTCATCAGGTGTGATGGACTCTGAGAGCCATACCACCAAAAGGTGTTTGCAGCACACTCAGGGCTCAGCAGGACCATATGTACCACGTGCCGATTGGCTTCACTTACCTACACCACCATGGGCTGAGAGCTCTCCAGTCAACATATCCTACAAACTCAAGGGAAAACCAGTAACTGTCCAAAAGAGCTGCCTGTGCAGGTTGCTCCTTACCGATAGCGCCGTTGTGAATACGGGCTGACATGCTCACTATGAGCCGTGCGCACACTTCGGGCAGGACATGAGGTCCAACTTCTGATGCAATTTCAATACAGTGATACTTCTGGTACTCATCTAAATCCTTTTCACTGCATAAGTTCTCCATGGAGCCAATTCTGGGAATAAGTCCAAGCTTTGGTGTTAAGAGGGAAAAGAAAATATTTTTGCTTAGATATACTGAAACCCAGAATTTCCCACATTCTCTTACTGTGCTCCGCATTGCAAGGACAGGGGCCTGGAGCACCACGTTTCCAAATCTGCCGTTGTGCTATTCAGTCATCTAAATTCACATTTATTCTGAAGGTCTAGACATTCCCCAAGTTCTTCAGATAAAAGAAACTGTGTATAAAAAAGTCAGATTATAATAAGACCTCACATATATGCTCAGAACTGTTTTTGCTTCTAAGAGGTGCTGTGTTGATGACTCCAAAAGCAGTATGAGGCCCAAATGTTTACTTATATTACCAAAATAGAGAAAAAGCAGCTGAAGGTTCTATGTCCAAGTATGGCCAGCCCTTGTCAGGTCCAGTTCTACAGAAGTAATTAGAGGAAAGGACTTAAAAATATTTTTCTGAAGGGAAGGACCCAAAACTAACACCCAGTTCCTGACTTGATGGAAACTTGGGAAATGTCTGGACCCGATTCCCAGGAAAGTACAGAAGTAATTTTACTTTTCCAATGTCATCTTTAAATATATCCATGATTTTTTTAATTAGATTCAGACAAATTACAGAGATTTTTAAAAAACCTAAGAGATGAAGAACTGCATGAATTTCTATTCCTAACCACAGCATCTTGTCAGCATATGTGGAGTGTGCTTACAATAAATGAGCAATAGATAGAGGTACATACTCTGACTATTAACATATGCAACAACTATGACTTGATGAGCTATTACGGTACTGCTCCATGAAAATTAAAATGGACACAATTCTGTCTTTCTGTACAAAAGCATGCAAACACAGTGCCAACGGAAGTAAGCAGAAGCACACTTCCCTGGATTTCTATTAAAACACACTATAAATGATTTTAAAATATTTTGAGTAAGTGTAAAAAAAATCACACTGGTATAAGTACAGCCTCAAGGGAATTGTGACAGAACTACTCACTGAGTCAATCAAGATGAACGATTTCACCTTTGGGTCAGAGGCAGAGGGCTGAGAAAAATACACATCCACAGAATATTCTGTTCCCGGCTCCAGGCAGAGTGCAGTTTGCAGAAATGCAATCCTGTTTAGCAGAAATAAAGCACAGTTATAGCCAGGAGTCAGGACAAGGCAAGTTTACCGGATGCTGTGAGCGCTCCCTCCCCTCTGCGCCTGCTTCCTAACGCCTGGGGCCCGGAGCAAGCCCTGCTGCTGCAGGGAGCACACCCAGCCCCGCTGCCTGCAGGCTTTGGGAAAGCTGCATGACTTCTGCCTGGATGATTCGCCAAGCGCAATTTAACCTGGTGACATTAAGCTGAAAATGGCAGGTTTTACTACTTCAAGCAAAGGAGTTTGTGACTCACTCTTCATATTTGTCCTTCCCTGTCCCTGTTTGATCAAGACTTTGGTCACATCCTCTTGGCTCCTCTCTATTCTTTACATAGGTCCAAGCTGAAAAGCTGGTTTTGAAAACAGGCTAGGACAGTGACAATATTTCCTTTCTATACTGAAATAGCCACAGTTGGATCTTCGCCAAAGCAACGACTAACCCCAAGAGGATCTCGGGCGGCTCTCCCGGCTCAGGCAAACCTTTGCCAGGCTGAGAACTGGAGCATCAGACTCTTCCTTAGAGCCTACGTGGTATTGTGGTGTGATAGAAACAGGAAAGGCCACACAGCTGTTTCTAATATTCCCACTTTCCCACACGTTTATTGCTCTGCAGTGCTTCCGTAAAAGATTCGTACACAGAAAATCTATGGGTGAAAGGACAGGAATAGTCAGACCTCTTTGTAGCTGGGAGAGGCAATGCATATGGCTCCTGTGAAAGGCCCTTGTTTTTGCAGCGTTGACTTGACAAAATACCAGTGGGCTGGATGGCAACACTTGCTAGCCAGTCTTCCAAGGACTATAAACAAAGGACAAAAATTATGGTTATTTTTAATATCTGAAAAACCCACTTTCTCTTTGCCAGGGTTAACAAAAGCCATCTGAATGATTGCACACTGCAGTGACAAAACAGATTTTCTCTTTGTTCTTTACAGGACCAAAAACATAACGTTATTTGTGAAAAATGCATTGCATTTGCAATGGCTAATTGAAGAGCGGAGACGGAAATGGGACCTCAGCTGGTGCAAATGGAAACAGCTCTGTTAAAGTCATTGGAGTTGTTTCCTTTCTTCGCACAGCGTTGTCCTGGAGATATCCTTCATTATCTGCCTCCTCTCACATCTAATAAGGAATAACAAACATAAAAGACTTCATAACAAAAGTCTTTAAAATTCAACTGTTTAATCCTTGGAAGGAAAAAGCCACATCAAACCAGCCCACTGCAAAATTGTTCTCACATTTTAAGACACTGGGAGTTTTGTTTGCCTCAGAATGACAGTAAGAGAACACAATACAATAGACAGAAGAAGGATCTCGAGTGGTGGGATTGGTCCCATGGAGCTGCAAAGTGAAAGCGAAAGGCATGTACAAATACTGGTACCGATAAAACACTTGCCTCTGTTTTTGAAGACATGGGTGCGGACTTGGGTTTAACCAAATTTGGGTTAATAGATTTCCCCAGACATGTCTTCATCACTGAGAAATTTTGTCCAGGCAAAAAATAAGATTTGGGCTATTTTCCTACAATTTTCACACATCTCAGAGCCCAGCTGGAGCAACTGGGAAGCTGGATGTCTGCAAAAGCCGTGGATAAATATCTACTCAGATCACTCCTGCCTGTGCACATTTTCCTGCCCAGAAAATCCCAGCTGGATCCATACAGGATGCCCATCTAAAAGGATTTGCATTTTGCATGTGTCTGATATGTGAATGGAAGTCCAGTCCAAGCAAGGGTACCAAAAGAGGAACTCCAGAAGATGAAATCTTGGCTGATGCTTAGAAAAAACTTGTGATGCTGATTTTTCAGATATGAGCGGAAAGAGTTAAGGAGATTAGTGGAGACCATGTTGCTCTGTTGATCAGGATGAAAAGGCAAACAATTTTGAATCTAAATATAAAGAGTGGGACAAGTTGCTGTGTCCTGTTATTGACAAAACAGACCCTGCATCTATCACAACATCACAAGACGCACAAGACATCACAAGTACCTCGGGCTCATAACGAATCGTGATATCAAAGTCCATAGCAAAGGGAATGTTGTTGATGGCAAATCTCAGCCCAGCTCCGCTGGGAACACGGGCAAAGCCAGGTCCCGTCCATGTGACAGACCGGCTGGCGCTGGGCTGCCTGAAAACCACTGACACAGCCGAGTCCTGTCCAAACTGCACTGCACCCTGCAAAGACATACTGACATTTTCAACAACACACAGAGTCAAATTCCAAAAAAACCCAAACTCAGAAGAAGAAAGGAAGTATTTTTGCCATGTTATTTACTTATTTCAGCCATCAGCCAGCCTCATTTTCTGAACAAGCTTGCAATCAACACTCTAAGAACTCTGCCAAATGTAGGATGTTTAGGGTCACATATAGAGAAAAGGTTCCTCTAGCTTTGCAACAACAGCAACAAGAAGGACTAGAATATTCCATCCATCTCTGTATATTTGGCATCTCCAGGCATTCACATCGCAAACCTCAAACAGATTAAGCTTGATTTCATACATGGCTGGACTTTTCATTATAAACTGAATAAATAAATACAATGACAAAGCTGACAGCATTTAAATGCAGTAGGTACCATGTTAACATCTAGGTACACTTAAATGTTGGAAATGTCTTGCAAGCAAAACAAAAAAAAGGATTTTACCTTTCATGGGGGCTCTTCCCTTCTAAACAATTCATTGAACCTGAGCCTACAATGGCACTGGACATAGCAGAGCAAACCTGTTGATGTGAATTATAGAACGTCCAGCCCAACTGCATACCAAAAAAATTGATTTCATTTATGTCAGGATTGTAACATCTAAGACTGTGAATCCCACGTGCTCAGACCTTTCCCTGCCCTCTGCTGCAAAATAAAATTTTAGTATTTGGTGTAACCTTAAATAACTATTAAAGTACCAATTTACCTGTTCCAGTCCAGATTTTCTTACACTTCGTTTCTTGCTCCTGTTTAACACAATCTTTCCATTTTCAATCGTGAACTCATAGCCTTGCTTCTGGAAGTAGATGTCACACCTTGGAAGAGTGCTTGGTTTTACCTATGAAGTAAAAGTAATGAGAGAGGGGACAGCACTGTCTCAACAATGTTGAAGGGTAGATAAGCAGCTAAATGAAAATCCTCATTCTTAAGACAAGCTCTATTCTCTGCTGGGTGCAACTCTAACCTATGGCCCAGCAGCTGCTGGAAACCCTGTTCCCTCATTCTCTTACAATTAACTTGCACTTCCTCTTAAGCTATGCCCCAGACATCTGTTTTCCATTTAATTATTGGACTGTAGGATGATTACTGGTTGTGATTATAGCTACATATTTGCCGATGTGACCTGCAAATAAACATTTTTTTATTATTCCTTCTTTATAGCTTCTGGACAACACATTGGAGAAGAAACATTAGTAAAAACATAGGCAGCAGAAGGAATGCATTCTGGACTTGTACTCTGCATGGGGAACAACTACCCACATTTTGAGGGGGAAAAAAAAATTATTTTTTCTAAAAACATTACAGATGCATGCCAAATTCTTGAGGAAATTTGGTTACAGTCAGTGCCATTATATAAGGCAGCAGGAATGAGTCCAATGGAACAGAGAGGAATTCCATTCTTCCCCTGTTGGAGATTCCCAGAAATATCAAAGTTCATGATAGCTGTTGGTAACTCACACACTTTCCTCTAATTTAAATAATTAAATTAATTTCTCCAATTCATGCTAGACCAGCCTGCACTTGAGGAGCAGCAAGGACAGCTTTGCAGGTCACACCATGCTGTAGCGACTCTCCCTTGGTAACAGCCACAGTTACGGGACAGTCATGTCCATGAAGAACAAGGATGAACTGAGGACGGTCAAGGGACTTGCTTTGTATCTTCCTGCTAAAGAGCCGCTCTGGCTGCAACCCAAGTGAGGGCTCCTCTCATCAGCCTTGGCTCCTGTGCCACCACTGCATGGATCCCCTCTCAGTATGACACCTAAAAAGCCAACTACGTACCAAGGGTGCAGAGCCAGAAAGGGGCTTTGCATGCTCAGCTTCATAAATATAATAATCCAGGGGTAAAAAGAAGTAGCCTGGGGCTGGCTCATTACACTGGCGGCTCACGATGTTGGGAAGACACTTGCACTGACCGTCCTTCGGTGAGCACCTAGGGTAAGAGTTGGTAAAGGGAGGACGTCAGAGTGCGGCATGGCTGGGTCCTCGCAGCATGAGAGCAGCTCAGTTCCACCCTTGTTTCAGCTTTGCTTCTTTTCTTCCATTGTTTGATCGCCTCCCCTATTAAACTTCTTCCTACCACCCACCCCTTCCGTTTCCTCCTTCTGATGCTGGATTTATTCAATGTTCCTTTTCATCGCTTAGGAGACATGACATGCTCTGTCTTTCTCTGTCCATTCCATACCTGAAGCACAAATCCTTTTGTTTCCTGAGCATCCATTACTATCTATTCCTGCATCCATTTCTTGTATCTGTTCCTATATCTATTACTGTATCTATCACTATTAAGTATCTATCACCCATAATTTGAGAGGCAGGACATGAGATCAGAAGGACCTTTGATTTGATGTGATATGGTAATTTTCATATACTTATGCTCTTATTTAACAAATCAGATGATTACTAGCTTTGATTTACCTGCTCATGAGGAGCTGCTCTACAGCACTGGACTATGTGCTCCGATGTCTGAAATCTAACAGCAGTAGTGAAGACCCCTGACCAACAAAATCCTGAAGGAACCCAACTGAAACCAAGCTTGCTTCTGAAATTATATATTTTGAATAGGATCCCGTACAACAGGAAAAAATTAAAATATTTCTAGCTTTTAAAGTAGATCTACAAAGCTAAGTTAAAAATGTAACCTCTAACTTGCTTGTAATTTCTATTAATATTAGGGCCTCTGGCTCTCTGAAACCATCCAGTTTATATTTTATATTAAACAAATCTTGACTCAAGCTGACTCAAAGTTGGCTTCAAAGGAAAAAAAGTATATCCCCTTTAAAATCACAAGTAAATTTCCAAGATCCCAACACGACTTTACAATGTTTGTATGTGATGAAATTATGCCTACAGTCTATTTTCCCATTTGTACTGAGACTCTATTAACCTAATTAGAAAGTGTAGCCTAAGAATTTATAAAAATTAAAACCAAGAAAAAACTTGAAGAATGTTAACTTACAAGTTATTCTGGGATCCACCAATGTCACAGTCACACGGAGAACAGCCATACAAGCTGTTGCCAAGACCCCAGTATCCTACCTGGGATAAAAAGAAAGTTGAAGATTTTTTACAGCAAATATTTAAGTATGTAAAGCACAACAGAACTTATTCCCCTGGATGAACAATGCTCTGGAGCACTCCTGGGCTGCCTGCCTGTGCTTGGCCATGTGAGATTGCTTCTCTTACCAGATTGCATGGGTGCTCAGCCGTTGCAAGAATAGCCAGATATTTACCCATTTGTGCAAGCAAGTTGCTCTGGAAAGAGCAAAGATGGTCCGAGAACATGATTTTGCATTTCCTTTATTTTCTGTGAGTGCTCCTCCTAGTGCAATTTGATTGCACAAATGTTTGCAAGCAGTAAAAAAGAACCAGATGTGTCAATGCAAAATGGGAGCATAGAGCTGTAAAATTATTTTGAATTTTGACTAATTGTTTATTTTTCTGGCAATGAAAAGGTGGGAGATGGGAGGGTGGACTTCTAAAACCACATGCAGAAGTAATAACAAAAACTGAGTACATACGAGGCATTTTTCACAGCGTCGCCCTGTGGCAAACCGCTGGCAGAGGCACTCTCCGGTGGCAGGATCACAGATGGAGAAAGGCAAACTGCCGGAGGGATCGCAGTTGCAGGCTGCAGGGAGAGAAACGCATGGTTACCTCTGCGGGCCCCAGTGATGGCAGCAGGACTGGCGATTGCTTTAGATGTGGTATCAGCATGACAGGGAGTCTCTCCCCTCCAGACAGATGCTCTGCAGATGGACATGCCCTGGCATCCTGCAGCCGAGGACTGCTGGCAAGGAATGGACTGTTTCCCCAGTGCTCCCTCTCTGGGGGCAGCAGGGGCACTGGCAGAAGTCTGGTGCGGTGATTTGCCGCATGCTGTGTGCTGATCTGCACTGCACAGTCCTTGCATGTTGCTGAGTACCATGTGCTGGGCATAACATGCTCACAAAACCACAGTGTGCCTGGGTAGTGGTGGGATGTGTTTTCCAGCGAGCCTCGCTCAAAGGAACAGCTGGCTGGAAGCTCATGGCGAGGCAGCAGCTCCTGCCATCTCGACGCTGCACCGTGCAGTGCAGAGTCTGAGTATCCTAACAGCAATTCCTGGGATCCCCTCTGGGGTTTTCATTCACCCTTGTGCTGATTTTGATACTAAAATTATTTTCATGTGTTTTAATCTCCCTTTTCAATTAAATTGCATATTTAACAATGTTTCTATTAACAACAGCCTGATCCATTATAATATACTATGTATTCTACAAAGTGATTTTGCATCATAGGCTTGCCAATGTGATACCCGCCTACAAGAAGGGCCAGAAAGAGGATCCGGGGAACTACAGGCCTGTCAGCCTGATCTCAGTGCCGGGGAAAATTATGGAGCAGTTTGTCTTGAGTACGCTCAACATGCATGTGCAGGTCAAACAGGGGATCAAGCCCAGCGAGCATGGGTTCATGAAAAGCAGGTCCTGCTTGACCAACCTGATCTCCTTTTATGACCTGGTGACCCGCCTGGTGGATGAAGGAAAGGCTGTGGACGTCATCTACCTGGACTTCAGTAAAGCCTTTGACACCGTCTCCCATAGCATTCTCCTTGGGAAGCTGGCAGCTCATGGCTTGGACGGGCGTACTCGTCGCTGGGTAAAAAACTGGCTGGGTGGCTGGGCCCAGAGAGTTGTGGTGAATGGAGTTAAGTCCAGTTGGTGACCGGTCACAAGCGGTGTTCCCCAGGGCTCAGTTTTGGGGCCAGTCTTGTTTAATATCTTTATCAATGATCTGGACGAGTGGACCGAGTACACCCTCAGTAAGTTTGCAGACGACACCAAACTGG